TAATAGCATTCGTATTTTTATTAGGCCTGAACCCAAACTGACAGGGGTTGATTATGTTGTGGGAGATGAGGTAGGAATAGATTCGCTAATGAATTAATTTTTCGTAGATTTTAGAGAGAGGGTGTAAGTTGGATATTGGCCTATAGTTATTCAAGTCTGTTTGGTCTCCTTTATGGATCGGGGTGACCCCTCGCTATTTTGAGAACTGTAGGGAAGGTAGAGGATTCGATGGATTTGTTAAAGAGTGTTGCAATGATTGGTGACAGCACTTGCGATGCTTTTTTGTATATAAAGGGTGGTAAGGTATTTAAATCTCCTGTCTTGTTTTTTAGCATGTTGATAATAAGGGAGACTTCTGTTGAGTTAGTCAGAGCTAGGAACAGTGTGTTTGGGTAGGGCATTTAAGCTTGGGATTTTATTGGCAAGGTTTTTTCCTATGGTGGAGAAGAAATCATTGAGTCTGTTTGCTGTTTCAGTTGGGGTTCATCTGGTTTTGTTAGTTCAATTGCGCTATTTCCTGATATCTTTTTTATTCGTAGAATTTCTGATAGGGTTTTCCAGGTCTTTTTTATATCACCTTTTAAGTTGGATAATCTGTTCTCATAATACAATTTTTTAGCCCTTCTTATCAGGCTGGTTAGGATTGACGAGTAACGTTTTGTTTGGTCTCTGGTTATGTGGCCCATTCTGTACTGTTTTTCGTATAGGTGCTTTGTATTTATGGGTTTGAGGATGCTGGGTGTTAACCAGGGACTGTTCAGTTTTTTAGGGCAGCGCTTGTTATAGAGGTATTGGGTCTTTTTTAGAAAATTTATTTTATTATTAGCACACTGGCCGATTCCCACCAAGGCAGGGTGGCCCGAAAAAGAAAAACTTTCACCATCATTGTCTTGCAAGGGTGCTTTACACTACAGTTTTTTAAACTGCAACATTAACACCCCTCCTTCAGAGTGCAGGCACTGTACTTCCCATCTCCAGGACTCAAGTCCGGCCTGCCGGTTTCCCTGAATCCCTTCATAAATGTTACTTTGCTCGCACTCCAACAGCCCATCAAGTATTAAAAACCATTTGTCTCCTTTCACTCCTATCAAACACGCTCACGCATGCCCGCTGGAAATCCAAGCCCCTCGCACACAAAACCTCCTTTACCCCCCTCCCTTCAACCTTTCTTAGGCCGAACCCTACCCCACCTTCCTTCCACTACAGACTGATAGTCTTGAAGTCATTCTGTTTAGCTCCATTCTCTCTACATGTCCGAACCACCTCAACAACCCTTCCTCAGCCCTCTGGACAGCTATGATTAGTTTTGAATCAGAAACTCTCATGTACTCAATGTATGCATTGTTCAGTTTAATGGTTTGGGTCACACAAGGTGTTCAATTCTTGGCGGTGTCATATGGATTTTATAGACTCCAGCATCTGCTATTTTTGTGCCTTAGTGTTGTGAATGGTAATGAAAGCTGTAACAGTGACTTACTGCCAGTTTGACTAAGCATTTTTGTTATGTTAGAAGTTACTGTAAAACGAAAGCCTGTAATTGTTTTACATGATGGTAGGATTGCTGGTGTCCATTTTTCTGTCTCATAAACATGCAAGGTTTCAGGTATGTCTTGCTACTTCTATTTACACTTAGGTCACACTACACATGCATGTACAAGCATATATATACACACCCCTCTGGGTTTTCTTCTATTTTCTTACTAGTTCTTGTTTATTTCCTCTTACCTTCATGTGGAAGTGGAACAGAATTCTTCCTCCGTAAGCCATGCATGTTGTAAAATGCCAAGAGCAAGGGGCTAGTAACCCCTTCTGTATATATTACTAAATGTAAAAGGAGAAACTTTTATTTTTCCTTTTGGGCCACTCCGCCTCGGTGGGATACGGCCGGTGTGTTGAAAGAAAGAAAGAAGTTACTGTATTAGGGAAGACTATGTTTTGCTTTCAGATCTAGAGATCTCAAGATATTTTTTGGTCACCTGCAGTGCTCCTCAATTTATTAATTATTTTATTAACACACTGGCCGATTCCCACCAAGGCAGGGTGGCCCGAAAAAGAAAAACCTACACCATCAGTCAGTCCATCACTGTCTTGCCAGAAGGGTGCTTTACACTACAGTTTTTAAACTGCAACATTAACACCCCTCCTTCAGAGTGCAGGCACTGTACTTCCCATCTCCAGGACTCAAGTCCAGGACTTGAGTCCTGGAGATGAAATTTGTGTATTCACACATGGCACTATGCCTGCTTTCTGCCTATATAACACCACCACCAGGCATAATATATCAGGCATGAAAAAGTCTGCTGTCAAGGTAAAATGTTGTCATAGTTTCCAATTGCTGCTTGTCTTGACGAGCTGCATCTTTCATCAGCACCAGACATCCCCTGTCTATAAACACTTTTTTTATAATGAAAAAAAAATGGGGGGAATTTACTCGGTACAGGAGCGCCCAACTTATACAGCGGGTCAGGTGAATTATAATTTTTTTTTTTTTTTTTTTTTTTTTACTTTCAAATGCATTTAGAAGCCTGATAACATGTTTACACTATCATATATTGAGAAATAGAGCTAGGCCTAAAACAATTCATATACAGTACACACATTACGTATCTTAAAATATTTTCGTCCTTAGCTGATAGCGAGTTGTGAACATATTTATTGTAAGAAGTCTGAATAAATGAAGAATGGGTATAATTAAGAATATGTACCTATATTAGCAAAAATGCTCTAAAGTGGGAACCTCTTGTAGCTTTTAATTAGTCATGCAAAGTTTTAAGGTAAAAACTAAGTATGATGTCAACAAGTTGAGGAAACAACACGTGTCAAGACTTAAAACATTGACCAGGAAACTTTTCAATCTTGGGACCTTATTCTTATGATACAAAATGTATAGCAATACTATAGTATGCACTTTGGCTTTATATACTATGCTTCTTGTATCCTTCGTATCGTAAGTGTGAACAAAAGTCCCAAGGCCAGAACATTTACTAATATATTTTTTTTAAGTACATGTATTTGCATACAAAAAACCATTAAGCTTGTGAGAGTCAGTAGTACTATTAGGCAAGCACAGCCATTTTTAAATCATACCAGTTACTGAAATGTGATTAAGTGAAAATTATATAAAGTTTTGAAAGGGAAATGTACCAGGATGAAATATAAGTAATAGATACAATTGCAGAACTTTAATGTTCTGCCAAAGGGGAAAGGAAACAAGAGTGAATATAAGAATTACAGGGGTATAAGCCTAAGTATACCAGGTAACATTTACGATAGAATTATCGAGTTATGGGTATGACAAAAAGTAAGATGCAGAGGAGACAGGAGAATTTAGGAACGATAGGGGATGTGTAGACCAAATGTTTACATTGAGGCACTTGAGTGAGCAGTACTTGCATAAAGGTAAAGAGCCGATTGTTGCATTTAATGATTTAGAAAATGCATGTGACTGGGGGCAGAAAAGGAAGCAAAGTTACAAATGTATGGAATAGGTGGTAGGTTACTAAGAGCAATTAAATTTTTTTATGCAGTGAAGCTTAGGTTAGGGTATGTAGGAGGAAGTATTTCTTCATGAAAGTAGGAATGACAGGGGTATATGACATGGCTATTTAACATATTTATAAATGGGGTTGCAAAAGAAGTATGCTGCGAAGAGATGTTGAAGCCAATACAATGCGAGTCATCCTGCCTGCTCTTTGCTGATGACATGGTCCTTGTTTTAGGGGCTGTGATGACCAGTTTTAAAGGTTGGTGGATGAATTCAGGAGGGTATCTACAAGAAGGAAATTAAGGGTAACAAATAGGCTAGGCAATAACATATTAACTATCAGGATGAAGGGAATGAGTATGAATATATATTTTGGAGTGTACATGTCAGAACTCTGAAGGACAGGTAGGGATGTTACAGAGGGTTAATATGAATTGTAATATACACTTCTGGAAAGACAGCAGTTGAGTGAATGAGTTTCCTTCTTTGGGTCAGCCTGCCTGGGTAGATGGCCATTGAAGAAAAAAAAAACTAAATTCCCTATTAGTGGCTCTTTCTTCCCTAATATATGAAAATATGGTTGCCAATCTACTACAGAAAAAACTAAACTATTATGTTGTTCCTTTACTGCTGATGGTACTTATTACTAACAAAATATTGTCAGAATCTGCAAGGAAATTCTCTAACCAGAAAGAAGCAAATAGCTTCAGATAGGAAATTTGAAACAATTTTTTTTTCTGCATTATGTATCTGTTGTCAAATTATAAAAGTGCATGATGTATATAACCATTTCAAAACTTATACATGGGAGCATTATTTCTTTTAAAACAACAGTACACAGACCTCAACAACATACTGCAAGAAGCTGCGCTATAAACACTGATGAAGTGAGAAACCACTTGGACATCTGCCAGTGCCTCTGAGGCAAAAATACACAGATCTCTCTCATCTTTTGTTCAAGTGGTTTCTCACTTTTTCATGCTGCAAAAGCTTTTTTTCTTTTTTTTTTTTTTTTAATGAAAAAGGAGTAAACCTGTTGTGGTGTCAGTCACAAAATTTTTGAAGGGGAAATATCCTCTCCATTTAAATAAAAACACTAGGCTCTTCGTCCATGGACTGTGCTTGAGAGAGTGGTCAGCCAAGCAGTCCACAGAATCCCCTCCACCACGTAAAGGTGGCCCAGCTTCATTACAGAGGGGGGAAAAAGGCAAAAAGCTTAGTCATACAAAAATGAACCATGCATACACCTGTCAGGAACTGTTTCAGAACTTTTCTGCATATATTAAACTTGCTCACATATGTATTCATTTTTAATTGCCCACCATGACAGACCACACTAAGCTTGAAACTTACCATCGTACTCACAGGTGTGTTATTTAAATTACCGACTATGCACAGAGCATTTACAAATTAACCCATGATTCTGATATCTCACATTACAAACAGGCTTAAAAAAAAAAAATGAATTTTCCCATTGATTCCTTGAGGAGACAACATTGAAAGGATAATGCATGAATATTGTGAATTAATTTTAATTAATTACATAGATATTAATCATGGGTAACACAAAATGAAACTTAGGTAGAGGTCTACACAAAATGAAAAATATATTAACTAACACTGACCATAACATACATAAATAAGGAGAAAAATCTTTGACAAAGTCATTAAACAACATAAATGACTGAAAAGAGATCAAGTATTATGATGTGCATTTTTGACCCTAAAAAAATTATATAAAAAATTCATCCAGCATATCTACAAAAATATAGGAGACAAAACATGAAATTAGAAAAATATTTAAGCACAAATACTATTAGTGTAATAGCTCAAAGGTATATAGTTATAAACCTATTTAGGAATCCTGTATGTGAAACAGCATGTCCAAGATTACAAAAATCCCTGAAGCTAAGACATGTCGCAGAATGAGCGTCTACCGAGACGAGGTTTAGAGTTTCCTTTTGATAATTCTGCCAAGACAGCTGCATGACCATTCCCCCCCCAAAGGGATTCAGTGTTCCCCACATCATTGTAGTAATTTTATTGGGAATGTTGTCAAAGATAAAAAAAACATCCCAATAAAAACTCATTCTGTAATGTGCCTCACCTTCACTATTGTTGGAAGTATGTCATTGTGATCCATGGAAACACTTGTATGTACTTCAGCTCTGTAAATTCAATTTTCAATTATCTTAAGGTTGAGGAAACCACATTTTAACATCAGTCATTTACCACTAATCTTCACATACATTTTATTGACTAAAAAATAAAAAAAAAAATCCATGAGATAAGAGCATCTAAATTAAAAAGTATTGCATCTATACATAAGGAATTTGACATATATACTGTGTAGTTGAAGATTTTTTCTCAATTCTTTACAAATGCACATTTTTTCCTGTTAAGCACCTCAGGTGTGGCAAAAATCATGTTTTATTCTTACTGATTACAAATTTGTCTATCCTTATACATGACCTTACTGAAAATCAAGGCATACAAAGACCATGGAAAAATTAGTGCCAGTTTACTACATTTTTGAATTCTAGGCTTATATACTATTATGATAACATGTACACAGAAAATATTCAAATTCCTTCCGCGCACTGATTGTTCCTGTTATACGATTTCTGTGAAACAATTTTCAATTTTTTTTTTTACTTTATGAAAAAAAAAAAATTAAGGCTCCTTAGCTTAGTAGACCTACACTAATTTTGAGGAGGTAACAAAAGTAACTTAATCTTTTATATATTTTGATGTTAATTAAATCAAATATATAATTTCTTAATAAATAAAAACAATGCAAAATTCTTGTTAAATAACAATCATAAAATTTAATTGCAACAGCAATGCAGCACATTCAACTGGGGTGATGCAGTTTAAAGTGAAACTGCAATGCTTACTGTGATTTCTTGAGTTACCTTACAACAGCTAAGCAAATTAGCCATTTAAAAATATAACAGATTTAGAGCCTTGCTCCTTCCTGTCTGCACATATCCTCACTTCTCTGTATACAGTATGGGCAGTTGATTTATGAATCAAGTAATGCACACAAATTGACAAAATTCACAAAACTCAAAGAGCAGAATGAGGCACTTTATCCTTACCATGATATTCAAACCTTCCTCATTCACTATTCATGACTGGCCAAAGACCCAACTTCTTGATGATGGAAGACCTTGTCCATACTCCATAGTGCAGTACAGAAAAAAAAAAAGTAAAAAGCCTATTAAGGCTTATTTATGGAAAACTATGCATCTTGTATAAAATGTCACACACATTGTAGAACATGATATTCATGTTTTTGCTGCCATGAGTACTATTTTTACATATATGCATGCTGCAAAAAAAGCTTTAAAAGAGGAAGTCTTTTTCAATTTAAAACATTATATTAAAAATTTATACCAAACTCGCCAAATTCAGGGCTCAACGACCGGAATGGAGTTAGCACATTTTTTCTATTATTATTATAATCAAAAAAGAAGCGCTAAGCCACACACTTTTTTTTTTCTAGCATGTCACATCAATGTTTTCTGTACAATAAAGGAAGAAAATATATCAACCATCTTGTTGCCTCAACAGAATATAGCACTCTGAGATAATCCACTTCTAGCTTACACTAGTTTCAAATAATAAATACATAATATTGTTTCAGTTCAACAGCAATATTTTGTCTTGACAAAGGAAAATATATTAACATGACTAGAGATCTATGTTGACAACCTTTATTGGAGGCCAAGATAGTTGTTAATGCCTTGAACGAGGAAAATAATCGCTGGCTGCCATGCCACTAACAATCTGATCCAGTCTAGTAACTGCCCATAAAATACATGAGGCTTTTCCCATGGGTTGCAAAACATTTTCTTGAGATCCACCTATAAGAAAAATCATGATTAAAAAAGTTATTAAATTGCACTACAAATAAGTCCACAGAGGAAATAAGAGATGGTAAAAGAACATGGGTTGTAAACAAAGACCATCAGACTGATGAAGTCCTCAGTGTGATAAAATATACAATACCAGTATTCATTCCTTCAGCCTTCTTTAAAGTTATCTATTGTTTTTTCTCCATGTGGGTTTGTTTGTAGGTAATAATTGTAATCAGAGTTTATCAGTACTTAATATTACATAGGAAGAAAGTTTAAATAGGTAAACTTGCTTCATATAATTACAGTACTGTACAGTGGGCATCATAAATATGCACGCACATACAGATTACGCAGAAAATGAGCCTGCTTACCACAGCCTATTGTTTTAAATATTTAATGTTGAAATATGTACATGTTCCTCACCTAAACTAGTATTTCACAGGCTTACCCTTCCTCTTGATGCACTCCTCAGGTCTCCTGATCATTGATAAGGCCACCTTATGGAGGACAGAAGTCAATACCCTCTCCATATTTAATGGCACTCAATATTTTGGAGTTACAGGGCACATCCATGCCATGAAGCTTATACTTAACCCTTTCAGGGTCGACAGGCCCTCTCAGAAACTTGTTCTCAGGGTTGCCCAAATTTCAAAAATAAAAATTATTTTTTCGTATGAAAAGATAATCTTTTCCCGATCATAATGACACCAAAAGTATGAAATTTGATGGAAAACTTACGGAATTATGCTCTCGTGAAGTTAGCAGTCTCGATGATGTTTACGCATCAGCGATTTTGCCCACTTTGAGCCCTATTTTTGGCCAATTCCACTGTACTAGTTGACAAAAATCATGAATATTTCGCTAGAACTCCATTTTTTCTATCGAATGAGTGCAAGAAACCACCCATTTATCGATTTTAACTATCCAATACAGTGGTCAGAATTTAGCAATTTTCAAATAGGGTCCAGAATAAACAAGAAAGACATTCCTCGCACTAAAATGACATTTCCTCTGTTCATTAGTCATGTCCCAACACCCCTCTGACATTCTTTTGCTTTCCACTTTGAACTTTTATTCTCACAAAAAATAGAAGATTTACTGTTATGCAGACTACTGCATTAGTGTAAGAAATGGTATAAATAATATCGGCGCACTTGTGAAAGAATATTAGACTCACCAGTTGATGTGTATTGGACGCTTAGCATGATTTGTTTACTTTTGAACTTTGGTAAAAATCGAACATTTCTGCTACTTTGAGCTCAATTTCAAGGTACTTTTCATTGTAAAATCAGTCAAAATCATCTCAATTTCTGCAATATGTCTTCCATTCTATAGAATGAGACCAGGAAAACCAGAATATAACAATAAATACCATACGAAAATACAGTGCAAAGTCGCTGTTTTAATCCAAAAACACGGTCAAAGTTTTTTTTTTCTCATTAAGCACTGTGTGCTGCAGGATTTTTTTTTTTATACTGACCACATAGACCCATTCTTTCATATGCAGGCCTACCAGCTTTCTCTCACTAGATTTGAGGGCACTAGAATTTAGCCGTACTAGTACGTCAAAAACCCTGGTGCGTAAGCCGTACTAGTACGGCCTGAAAGGGTTAATAAGCTTCAAAATGTTCCCTATTGGATTTAAGTCTACTGAGGTCCCAGGCCAGTCATTAAGCATGAATCACAATTTATCTAATTTTTTGTCTTTGGCAGTATGGCAAAGACAAAAGTCTGCTGAAGGTGCACTTACAGACGTGCACATTTATATGCTTACTGTATTACTAAACAAAAATTTTACTGAGTGTTTAGAAATTTGTCAAGCAAATTTAAAATAAATACTGGCTAAATTCTTTATAGTGTAAACCCTTGACTTAATGTATTGTGGAAATACAAGACAAAATCTGGGGGTTACATTATTTCTGTTGTTAGAATAATGGCAAAACAATTTCAGCTTTATCCCCCATAATTGTCAATACCAGCCATCCACTAAGCTCTAATCCATTAAACTAATGATTTACTATAGTAAAACTATTGCAGGCAACACAAATAAGTTTAGAGTGAATAGTGCTACCTCTGCGACAATGTAAATATAATTATATCTTACCTTTTCTTTACAGTATGGGCAAGTCTGTTTCTTGCCAACAATGCACCAGCCTCGAATACAAAACTCATGGAAGGTATGACCGCAAGACAGGCGATAAGTGTTTTCAATGATGCCCTCCTCACCCTCTGGGACTAACTGTGGATTACCACACACAGCACACACTCCAGGTTCAAGAGTGCGAGTAGGCATGCCATGTGGAGTATAATACTGAAAATAAAGGTACATTACTACGTCTGCTCTCCTATGCTAAAGATTTCTTGCTAATTAAAGTATTTTTTTTTTATAAAAGCAGGATAGGTTTACCAAGGTGGTTTATAATTTCAAAGGAGATGGATAGTGTAGGGAAGTCCTAGAAAAGACTGGAGAAAAGGATATTTTTAGTAGTAGGATCTTGAGGATCCAGCAGGATCACAGTGGAGACCAGTAGTTTTAGGAAGTTAACACTGAGTGATAGCAAGGTAATACTTATGAAAGGATTCAGGAAAACCAGTTAGCTGGATTTGAGTTTTGGAAGTGGAAGTACAGTGCCTGCACTCACATGGATAGGTGGATAATCTAAATTGTGATGTCTATGCACTAAATGAGTGATGGTGAATGAATTTCCTTGTTACCCCGCCTTAGTGGAAATGACAAATGTGAAAAAACATAGCTACTCATTTCTTATAGCAATTATTTTATCTATTATTTTCACCTATCTTTTCTTTCTTGATTTTCTTTTTATGATTGCTAAAGAAGTCCTCAATTTTTCCAGATATTTTTCGACAGGTGGTGACTGCTTAACATTTGCGATAGACAAACTAGCACATGAATTATATTAATCGTGGAGAAGCATTAAACATATAAATGCCATACAGTGCCTTGGGAATGGTAGGTAATCCAGTCTGATCCATGGAAGGGAAACATCACTCCAATATCTTTGATTAGGAACCCTTCACCTGAATAAAGGCACCCACCTGCAAGGTGGGATTGCTCAGCAAATTCTTGAAGTCTTGCTCTGAATCATAATGTCTGGGCCGTTTCCTTAAGGAAAACAAAAATCAAGACTGGAGAAAGCAAAACTGTTAGTATTAAAAGATTACAATATCAGCGCACTAACCCCAACATGGGAAGCCATCTTGTCTGCACACACTTCAGCAATATCTCGCCCAAGAACCCCGTAATACAGTCCATAGAAAATAAATAGAAGTCCACTGTCCATCCACACATTGGGCTTGACTCCAAACAGGAAGTTAAAACCCATCATAGTTATCATTATGATCACGTAACCCACCACTCCGAGGCCACAGCAGATCTTGTAGATGAGAAGAAACCATTTATATACTTGTCTGCAATAACAAAGCAACATTATTAATAGCAAAGAAAGGTAATTTACTATCAGTAATGGATAAATGATTATCAATGCATCCAAAGTAAAAAATAAAAAAAGGATGCAGCTTCATACAGAAACAGACTTAGTAATAAACATACTTAGATTCAGCACTTTAATACCTAAATTCTCTCATATTCTTTACTGATTATCTTTCAGGGTAACAAGTATGATATTGTTCATTTCTGCCATGTAAAGAAATCTAAGGTCACATTTATATTTTCAAATACTTACCAAAACTTTTTGTTCTCAACCTTTTTTATACAAGTAGACAAAGAGTAATCACAACATTTTCACACCAAACCTCTCCTGTCTCCAAATAAAACTACATTCTTTCTTAAGCCTTCATTTTTCAAAAAGTCTTGTGTATATTTATTCAATAAAATCCAGTATCCATTTATCCCTTCAAGATAGGCACCTTGACATCAGTGAAGGGCTCTTGATCCAAAGAGTCCTTGGTTGAACTTAAAATTGTCTGGCTCTCAAAGCCACTATCAGGAGTGTGTTCCAGGGTATAATGTAATGGGACAATGCAAATGATACCTTTCACTTATTGGTATTTGAGTGTATTTCACTCATTGAACAGACGACAAAGTATCATTTTGTAAATAAAGTATTTATAGGGATAAGCCTTGTGTATATGATAGTGTATGTTAAAGTACATAAATACTAGTGAGTGATAAAATGAGTATCCAAACTACTTGACTATATTTTTAACCAATCTCCCACACAGGGCTCAAATGATTCACAGGGTAAAAGGAAGGCCAGGCCAGTAGGTACTGCCATCTGTCACCCAGACTTAGAATCATTGTACAAAAAGCAGTGAATGTACATGCCACCGTGCTTAGGCTTGCAATACACAAAAAAATGAAAAGCTTGTAGCCGAGCAATGGACATGCACATCATGGAAAAGAAGCAAAGAGTTGGATTACCAATCAGCTGTAAACTTGATGGAAGAAGCATTATATGCAAGACACTAAAACAAGGTTCATGTAGTTATCAGGAGGAAAAGAAACAAATCGCATGTATCCTGACATCACCCCTCACACTTCATGTGTATCCCTTTAACTTTTTAAATACCTCCACATTGTTTTCAATATAAAATCACTATAATCACTGGTAAATTTAATACTTAATTATTACAATCAAAGAAAGCACTAAACTGATAAGGGTTATGCAGTTAATACTTACAGAAATATCAACTACTACTAGAAGAAAGGTAGACAAGAATACAGCTAATGGAGATGAAGAGGTATGAGGAAGATTTAAAAATGCAGCTCTATAGTGAACAGCAGAAGTTCATGAGTTTAGGAGGGTAGGTGTTGGTGGAAAGAGGAATGATAGGTGGAATAAGATAAAGAGGATGGTGAGAAAGTTAGCACATGCGAGGCTCTTGCAATGTAAAAATGATATACGAAAGGCAGAGTGAATGGGGAGGAAATGAGAGGTAATAAGAGCGGTGAGGCAGCGCATAAGGAAAGTGAATGAGAAAATAGGCAAGTCTTTATCAGCAAATTTTGATGAGAGATTAATAAGTTGAGAAAGCCTGCAGAGCAGACAGACTTTGCAATTAAAAACAGAAGTGGAATGTTAGATGGGAAGTTAGAAGTACAGTATTGGAAAGATGGAGAAAACATTTTGAGGAGCTGTTAAATGTTGATGATGTCCGAAAGGCAGTAATTTCATGCATTAATAACATAACAAAGGAGGAACACTGCAATAGGCCTCGTGGCCCATACTATTCAGGTCCGTCACAAATCCAACCCACTAACAGAATAAATGATACCCAAGCAATAAGCTTTGAGAATTCTATTTACTCACATGCAAATCCCACTCAAATCCAACCCCCTCTCACTTATGTATTTATCCAACCTAAATGTGAAGCTACCCAAGGTTTTAGCTTTGATAGGACCTTGGGTAGCTTCAAAAAGAGATTGGACAAATATATGAGTGGGAGGAGCATGTACATATATACATGTACATACATACATTATTTTATTATAATTCCCTACAATATATTGGGGCACCAAACATTCGCGAGGCTCTTGATCTCCTAACCCTCGCGAATATTGAGGGAGACTTGTATATATATATCTCCTCCATGGGGAAGTGGAACAGAATTCTTCCTCCGTAAGTTATGCGTGTCATAAGAGGCGACTAAAATGCCAGGAGCAAGGGGCTAGTAAACCCTTCTGTATATATTACCAAATTTAAAAGGAGAAACTTTCGTTTTTTCTTTTGGGCCACCCCACCTCAGTGGGATACGGCTCGTACGTTGAAAGAAGAAAGATATATACATATATAGGTAGTAGGCTGGTAGACAGCAACCACCCAGGGAGATACTACTGTCCTGCCAAGTGAGTGTAAAACGAAAGCCTGTAATTGTTTTACATGATGGAAGGATTGATGGTGTCTTTTTTCTGTCTCAAAAACATGCAAGATTTCAGGTACGTCTTGTTACTTATACTTAGGTCACACTGCACATACATGTACACGTTTATATATACACACTCAGATGAGTTTTCTTTGATTTCATATTAATAGTTCTTGTTCTCATTGCTTTTCCTTTCATATCCATGGGGAAGTGGAATAAGAATGGGCAAGAAGGAATAACAGCTTGTAGGAAGATGTGAGGAAAATGCACTAGGCAGTGGGTAGAATCAAAAGGGGTACAGCAGCTGGGACAGACAGGATTAAAGCTGAGATGTTAAAAGCAGGTGAGTATATGGTTCTGGAGTGGTTGTTGTATTTGTTCAATACATATACAAAAGAAGGAAAGGTACTTAAGGACCGACAGTGTGTGTGCTTACTTCCTTTGTATAAGGCACAAAAGGTAACATAAAAGTGTACGAATTATAAGGCAATAAACCTGTTAAGTGCACCCAGTAAAATGGCAAAATTACCGAAAAGAGTTTAATAGCAATTGCAAGGTACAATTATGGCAATATTTATAGCCAAAAGCACTGTGTACATGCTAGTGCTTGGTAAAGCACATGTACAGTGGTAATTACCAGTGTGTGTGATAAATGAGTATCATATAATTTAAATAAAGAAAAACTGGATATCACATTGGAGAGAGGGAGTATGGAAGAAGTGAATGTTTTCAGATATTTGAGAGTTGACTTGTCAGCAGATGGGCTTATGAAGGATGAGGTTAACCATAGAATTGATGAAGGAAAAAAGGTGAGTGGTGTGTTGACGTATCTGTGGAGACAAAAAAACGTAATCTATGGAGGCAAAGAGGGGAATGTATGAAAGTATAGTGGTATCAACACTCTTATATGGGTGTGAAGCTTGGGTTGTAAATGCTGCAGCGAGGAGGTGGCCAGAGGAGGGAAGATGTCCTAAGGGCAATGTGTGGTGTAAATATTATGCAGAGAATTCAGTGTGTGGAAATTAGAAGGTGTGGAGTTACTAAAAGTATTAGTCAGAAGGCTGAAGAGGGGTTGTTGAGGTGGTTTGGTCATTTAGAGAGAATGGATCAAAGTAGAATGACTTGGAGAGCATATAAATCTGTAGGGAAAGGAAGGAGGGGTAGGGGTCATCCTCGAAAAGGTTGGAGGGAGAGGGTAAAGGTGGTTTTGTGGGCGAGGGGCTTGGACTTTCAGCAAGCATGTGAGATAGGAGTAAATGGAGACAAATGGTTTTTTGGACTTGACAAGCTGTTGGAATGTGAGCAGAGTAATATTTAGTGAAGGGATTCAGGGAAACTGGTTATTACAGATTTAGCCAGACTTGAGTCCTAAAAATGGGAAGTACAATGCCTGCACTTTAAAGGAGAGGTCTGGGATATTGACAGTTTGGAGGGACCTCTAAACTGTCGTATCTGAGCGCCTCTGCAAAGACAGTGATTATGTTTGCATGAGGTGAAAGTGTTGAATGATGATGAAAGTATTTTCTTTTTGGGGATTTTTTCTTTCTTTTTGGGTCACCCTGCATCAGTGGGAGACCGCCGACTTGTTGAAAAAAAAAAGTCTTAAAACCTTACCTAACATATGAATTACATGCTGTACATACACATTACAAAGATATCAGCTACAACCTTTTTATGGATTTTAACAGCAATTTTTGTCTTGCAAATTTTTCATTGAAACTTGCTCTTATAGTTACTTGTGAATTTCAGTCAGATACTCTGAACTCATTATTATTATTATATTCAAAGGGAAGGGGGAAGCACTGAACCTATAGGCATCATAATGCCTGGTGGAATGCAAGGCAATCAGGTTCAATCTAGGAAAAGCTAGATCAGGTCCAATTTCTTGAAAAGACCCAACATCAAGGAACCTCCCTTGAACATTCAAACATTTACAGTCTAGACTGAGCCAACTGTGCAGTGTTCCACTGTCCATTCATGAGAAAGGGATCAGACACCATTCACTAGCATCATGGCAGCTCCTATGAAGTACTGAACTAACAACAACCCACTTAATTACAACATGTCTACCAAACTTGATGTATGTTATCCAACACTGCATACCTAATTTTGAAAAGAATAAAAGGCACACATGGAAAATAACAATAGGGAATTGAATGATAGCTCTAGGCCTTTTGTATCATAATCAACACATCATCAGAAGCTTGCAATGTTGCAGAAACACAGTAGGAAATCCAGGCAGATTCATTCATGGAAATGATTCCCCAGAATCTGGAGAGTCGTTCCACTGAACGAATTTGCTTGGATTTACTACTCTATTTCTACAGCACTGCAAGCTCCTGATGTGTTGATTGCAACACATCAGGAGCTTTTATTCAACTCCCCGTGGTTATTTTGCATTTTTTATTGCTCGTTCACAATTATTGCATAAAAGGCATACGTTAACGTGCAGAAAAATAAAAACACGTAACTCACCTGGGTGTAGTTTGTTCTAGTGGTCTCTCGAGTGCTTTCTTTACGACAATAATGGTGATGGAAGAGAAAAGCAGCCAGATGAAGATGAAACGCCACCAGTGGTTATGCAGGCATAAGATGAAGGGAATTACCCAAACACCTATCATGCTCACTAGCTGCAAAGAGTAATGATTATGAGCTGAAAATTGAAAACGAGCAAATGGAACAATTTAATGGAGGTCTAAAGTTACTTGCCCACCATGGTGCAGTGATTAGCGCAAAAGGCTGATAATTTCAGATCAGTTCGAATCATGTTATTCTAGTGAACTAATGGTCATCTACCGTATTCTACGGCAAACAAGATGCTCCGGTGTCAAAGATTCCCCCCTCCCCCCATTCTGATTGGCTAAATTTTGGTACTTCAGCCTCCAAGATGCTGGGAAAATATTCGACTTATTCTGGAAAAAAATAAAAATAGCATCTTCGACGCTATAAAATACAGTATACCATAAGAGAATTACAGTCATAATGAAGCAACTGGATTTTTTTTTTTTTTCAACAAGTCGGCCGTCTCCCACCGAGGCAGGGTGACCCAAAAAAGAAAGAAAATCCCCAAAAAGAAAATGCTTTCATCATCATTCAACACTTTCACCACACTCACACATAATCACTGTTTTTGCAGAGGTGCTCAGAATACAACAGTTTAGAAGCATATACGTATAAAGATACACAACATATCCCTCCAAACAGCCAATATCCCAAACTCCTCCTTTAAAGTGCAGGCATTGTACTTCCCATTTCCAGGACTCAAGTCCGGCTATATGAAAATAACTGGAATTATTCACAGTAATTAAAAACTTTAAGAAAAGACTAGGCGAGATTTCAGTCCATCTTGGACTGTCATCAAGTTACAACCTTATACAGTAATAATCTAGATCAGACCAAAATGCTGTCTAAGGTTTCCTCTTGAAATTGTGAGTGTGTTGTGAAATATATACCTCCAATAAAACAATTCTAGGAATGCCATAGTTTTTCCTTAAATTACCTTATACATTGCACTGTATGACCCTTATGGGTTCAGCACTTACTTTTGATTGTAGCAGTAGTACTGTATATACTGACATTAAAATATTTATACAGCTGTTTAACACAACACTGTCAACCATTCCTTCCAACAATTCTTTACTCCCACAATATGCTTTTTTTTTTCTTTTTTTGCAGATGAGCCAAAACAGGACAATTCTTACACAAGAGTGACAGAACTGCAAATTATAATACAGACAAATGTTAATGAAGCTTTCTCCCACCTGATATGATTTGTAGTGATTTTTTTTCCAGGCCACGAGTCCAATTTGTGCTATAATAGTGACCACCATTAAGATGAGGACCATTTCTGCGTGCATCTCATCGTGGCCCTTATGTTTCTCATGTAGCCGTAGGTGTTCTAATCTACCGGTAAAATCATATTAGCCAAAGATACAAAATGTTGCAAGCGAAACAAAACAATACAAAATCCTACAACACTTATTCTTCTTAAGACTGTTAATAATATTTATTTCTATAAGTACAAGGTATACAGCCCTAGATGACATCAATGACATACTACTATATATATATAGAGAGAGCCCCTTCTTGTGTAGAGCATTTCAGGCAAATTAGGTAAATGTTGTCCCCAGGATGCAACCCACTCTAGTTGACTAACACCCAGGTACCTATTTTACTGATTGGTGAACACGGACAGCAGGTGTCTTTAGGAAACACATTCCAATGTTTCCACCCGTACTGGGGAACAACCCCTGTGAGGAAGGACTAAACCAGTAGAGGCCATACAGCACCTGTGGAATGGGAAGTAATCAGGTCTTATCTATGGAAGGGGAGTGTTACCTGTGATATACTTCTGACTGGTTTCCCGAGTTTTTCTACCCTTGCAGAAAATCTCTCGAATCCAATAACAATTCGATGGGTCAAGAACCCTTCACCAGGATCAAGGCCATTCCCCCACCTCCAGCAGGGACCCAATTAATAAATCTAAATCATAGCACTACACTTCAACTTTTGTAAAAAAAAAAAAAAAAAAAAATCTAATACAGCGATAACTATTATTCATGGACCCCAATGACAAGAAGTCACATTGTCTGACTTTAACTGGTAATGATAGGATAAACATAATGAATATTTTGTGCCCATAATACCTGTGTATCCTCAAGAACATTGTAAAAAAGTTTATATTACATACGAGTAGAATAAATATGAAAGTTTTTCGTAGTAGAATTTTTTATTTTTATAACTGAAGCAAAGTTCGAGACCCGAAGCAAAATTTCACACAAAAAATGGTCTGAAAACCAAAACGTCCAATAACTGGAGCATATGAAAACCGAGGTTAAACTGTACAGTCCCTCCTCACTTAGTGACATGCTCATTTACTGATGCCTCGAACTTACGACAAGCTCTGACCGGTATTTATAACTAAATAATGTATATTAGAGCTGATTTCCTCAATTCTGTTTATTACAATATACAGTACACTGCTATATAAACATTCAAAAATATACCAGAAATGTTATAAATGGTGTAAAGGTGACATTAAAACAATATCAAAGATGGCGGACACAAATCCACAACCATTATAGCATGCTCCTCGTTTAGCAACGGGGTCTTAGGTCCCTATCTCCGTCGTTAAGTGGGGAGAGGATGTATGTATGTATATATGTATATAACACACACACACAGGTGTATTTTTTTTTTTTCAACATGTCAACAGTCTCTTTTTGGGTCCACCTCCCGAGGAAGGTGGACCCAAAAAGAAAATACTTTCATCATCATTCAACACTGTCACCTCACTCATACATAATCACTGTTTTTGCAGAGGTGACCAGATACAACAGTTTAGAAGCATATATGTACTATAAAGATATACAACATATCCCTCCAAAATGCCAATATCCCAAACCCTTCCTTTAAAGTGCAGGCATTGTACTTCCCATTTCCAGAACTCAAGTCTGGCTATATAAAAATAACCGGTTTCCCTGAATCCCTTCACTAAATATTACCCTGCTCACACTCCGACAGCTCGTCAGTCCCAAAAACCATTTGTCTCCATTCACTCCTAACACACTCGTGCACGCTTGCTGGGAGTCCGAACCCCTAGCCCACAAAACATAAGAACATAAGAAAGGAGGAACACTGCAGGAGGCCTGTTGGCCCATACTAGGCAGGTCCTTTACAATTCATCCCACTAACAAAACATTTGCCCAACCCAATTTTCAATGCCACCCAAGAAATAAGCTCTGATGTGAAAGTCCCACTCAAATCCAACCCCTCCCACTCATGTACTTATCCAACCTAGATTTGAAACTACCCAAAGTCCCAGCCTCAATAACCCAACTAGGTAGACTGTTCCACTCATCAACTACCCTATTTCCAAACCAATACTTTCCTATGTCCTTTTTATATCTAAACTTATTTTATTTTATTATCACACCGGCCGATTCCCACCAAGGCAGGGTGGCCCGAAAAAGAAAAACTTTCACCATCATTCACTCCATCACTGTCTTGCCAGAAGGGTGCTTTACACTACAGTTTTTAAACTGCAACATTAACACCCCTCCTTCAGAGTGCAGGCACTGTACTTCCCATCTCCAGGGCTCAAGTCCGGCCTGCCGGTTTCCCTGAATCCCTTCATAAATGTTACTTTGCTCACACTCCAACAGCACGTCAAGTATTAAAAACCATTTGTCTCCATTCACTCCTATCAAACACGCTCACGCATGCCTGCTGGAAGTCCAAGCCCCTCGCACACAAAACCTCCTTTACCCCCTCCCTCCAACCCTTCCTAGGCCGACCCCTACCCCGCCTTCCTTCCACTACAGACTGATACACTCTTGAAGTCATTCTGTTTCGCTCCATTCTCTCTACATGTCCGAACCACCTCAACAACCCTTCCTCAGCCCTCTGGACAACAGTTTTGGTAATCCCGCACCTCCTCCTAACTTCCAAACTACGAATTCTCTGCATTATATTCACACCACACATTGCCCTCAGACATGACATCTCCACTGCCTCCAGCCTTCTCCCTCGCTGCAACATTCATCACCCACGCTTCACACCCATATAAGAGCGTTGGTAAAACTATACTCTCATACATTCCCCTCTTTGCCTCCAAGGACAAAGTTCTTTGTCTCCACAGACTCCTAAGTGCACCACTCACTCTTTTTCCCTCATCAATTCTATGATTCACCTCATCTTTCATAGCCCCATCCGCTGACACGTCCACTCCCAAATATCTGAATACGTTCACCTCCTCCATACTCTCTCCCTCCAATCTGATATTCAATCTTTCATCACCTAATCTTTTTGTTATCCTCATAACCTTACTCTTTCCTGTATTCACCTTTAATTTTCTTCTTTTGCACACCCTACCAAATTCATCCACCAATCTCTGCAACTTCTCTTCAGAATCTCCCAAGAGCACAGTGTCATCAGCAAAGAGCAGCTGTGACAACTCCCACTTTGTGTGTGATTCTTTATCTTTTAACTCCACGCCTCTTGCCAAGACCCTCGCATTTACTTCTCTTACAACCCCATCTATAAATATATTAAACAACCACGGTGACATCACACATCCTTGTCTAAGGCCTACTTTTACTGGGAAAAAATTTCCCTCTTTCCTACATACTCTAACTTGAGCCTCACTATCCTCGTAAAAACTCTTCACTGCTTTCAGTAACCTACCTCCTACACCATACACTTGCAACATCTGCCACATTGCCCCCCTATCCACCCTGTCATACGCCTTTTCCAAATCCATAAATGCCACAAAGACCTCTTTAGCCTTATCTAAATACTGTTCACTTATATGTTTCACTGTAAACACCTGGTCCACACACCCCCTACCTTTCCTAAAGCCTCCTTGTTCATCTGCTATCCTATTCTCCGTCTTACTCTTAATTCTTTCAATTATAACTCTACCATACACTTTACCAGGTACACTCAACAGACTTATCCCCCTATAATTTTTGCACTCTCTTTTATCCCCTTTGCCTTTATACAAAGGAACTATGCATGCTCTCTGCCAATCCCTAGGTACCTTACCCTCTCCATACATTTATTAAATAATTGCACCAACCACTCCAAAACTATATCCCCACCTGCTTTTAACATTTCTATCTTTATCCCATCAATCCCGGCTGCCTTACCCCCTTTCATTTTACCTACTGCCTCACGAACTTCCCCCACACTCACAACTGGCTCTTCCTCACTCCTACAAGATGTTATTCCTCCTTGCCCTATACACGAAATCACAGCTTCCCTATCTTCATCAACATTTAACAATTCCTCAAAATATTCCTTCCATCTTCCCAATACCTCTACCTCTCCATTTAATAACTCTCCTCTCCTATTTTTAACTGACAAATCCATTTGTTCTCTAGGCTTTCTTAACTTGTTAATCTCACTCCAAAACTTTTTCTTATTTTCAACAAAATTTGTTGATAACATCTCACCCACTCTCTCATTTGCTCTCTTTTTACATTGCTTCACCACTCTCTTAACTTCTCTCTTTTTCTCCATATACTCTTCCCCCCTTTGCATCACTTCTACTTTGTAAAAACTTCTCATATGCTAACTTTTTCTCCCTTACTACTCTCTTTACATCATCATTCCACCAATCGCTCCTCTTCCCTCCTGCACCCACTTTCCTGTAACCACAAACTTCTGCTGAACACTCTAACACTACATTTTTAAACCTACCCCATACCTCTTCGACCCCATTGCCTATGCTCTCATTAGCCCATCTATCCTCCAATAGCTGTTTATATCTTACCCTAACTGCCTCCTCTTTTAGTTTATAAACCTTCACCTCTCTCTTCCCTGATGCTTCTATTCTCCTTGTATCCCATCTACCTTTTACTCTCAGTGTAGCTACAACTAAAAAGTGATCTGATATATCTGTGGCCCCTCTATAAACATGTACATCCTGAAGTCTACTCAACAGTCTTTTATCTACCAATACATAATCCAAAAAAACTACTGTCATTTCGCCCTACTTTCATATCGTGTATACTTATTTATCCTCTTTTTCTTAAAATATGTATTACCTATAACAAAACCCCCTTTCTATACAAAGTTCAATCAAAGGGCTCCCATTATCATTTACACCTGGCCCCCAAACTTACCTACCACACCCTCTCTAAAAGTTTCTCCTACTTTAGCATTCAAGTCCCCTACCACAATTACTCTCTCACTTGGTTAAAATGGCTCCTATACATTCACTTAACATCTCCCAAAATCTCTCTCTCCCCTCTGCATTCCTCTCTTCTCCAGGTGCATACACGCTTATTATGACCCACTTCTCGCATCCAACCTTTACTTTAATCCACATAATTCTTGAATTTACACATTCATATTCTCTTTTCTCCTTCCATAACTGATCTTTTAAACATTACTGCTACCCCTTCCTTTGCTCTAACTCTCTCAGATACTCCAGATTTAATCCCATTTATTTCCCCCCACTGAAACTCTCCTACCCCCTTCAGCTTTGTTTCGCTTAGGGCCAGGACATCCAACTTCTTTTCATTCATAACATCAGCAATCATCTGTTTCTTGTCATCCGCACTACATCCACGCACATTTAAGCAACCCAGTTTTATAAAGTTTTTCTTCTTCTCTTTTTTAGTAATTGTATACAGGAGAAGGGGTTACTAGCCCATTGCTCCCGGCATTTTAGTCGCTCATACGACACGCATGGCTTACGGAGGAAAGATTCTTTTCCACTTCCCCATGGACAATAGAAGAAATAAAGAAGAACAAGAGCTATTTAGAAAAAGGAGAAAAACCTAGATGTATGTATATATATATATGCATGTGCGTGTCTGTGAAGTGTGACCAAAGTGTAAGTAGGAGTAGCAAGATATCCCTGTTATCTTAGCGTGTTTATGAGACAGAAAAAGAAACCAGCAATCCTACCATCATGCAAAACAGTTACAGGTTTTTGTTTCACAGTCATCTGGCAGGACGGTAGTACTTCCCTGGGTGGTTGCTGTCTACCAACCTACTACCTATAAACTTATCTAATTTAAATCCATTACTGCGGGTTCTCTCTTGGAGAGACATCCTCAAGACCTTATTAATATCCCCTTTATTAATACCTATCTTCCACTTATACACTTCGATCAGGTCTCCCCTCATTCTTTGTCTAACAAGTGAATGTAACTTAAGAGTCTTCAATCTTTCTTCATAAGGAAGATTTCTAATGCTATGTATTAATTTAGTCATCCTACGCTGAATGTTTTCTAACGAATTTATGTCCATTTTGTAATACGGAGACCAGAACTGAGCTGCATAATCTAGGTGAGGCCTTACTAATGATGTATAAAGCTGCAGTATGACCTCTGGACTTCTCCCTCCAACCTCTTTGAGGACGACCCCTACCCCGCCTTCCTTTCCCTACAGATTTATACGCTCTCCATGTCTTTCTACTTTGATCCGTTCTCTCTAAATGGCCAAACCACCTCAACAACCCCTCTTCAGCCCTCTTGACTAATACTTTTATTAACTCCACACCTTCTCCTAATTTCCACACTTCGAATTCTCTGCATAATATTTACACCACACATTGCCCTTAGACAGGACATCTCCAACTGCCTCCTAGCTGCAGCATTTACAACCCAAGTTTCATATATAATGAAGCTCTAGTAACAAGCTTAAAAAATTAGCTAGTAAAGAATAACAAGAGCCTCGTACATAACTGGTAGCTATAACCTATAGACAACTTTTACCAGTGAAATTAAAAATAATTTCTACCAATGTTCTTACCTCCATCTTTCTTCTTCAGATAAATGCAACTCCTGGTCTGTCTGAAAGAGAGAAAATAGAACTGTAAATATAACTCTGGTTTAGGTTATGATTTGAAAAATAGGTTATGCAATGTATACAGCCTCTCCTCACTCATTTACCAATGACTCAGACTTACGACAGGCTCTCTGACCAGTATGCAAACCTAAGTAATGTGTATTAGAGCTGATTTCCTCTACTCTATTTTTTTTTTTATCACACTGGCCGATTCCCACCAAGGCAGGGTGGCCCGAAAAAGAAAAACTTTCACCATCATTCACTCCATCGCTGTCTTGCCAGAAGGGTGCTTTACACTACAGTTTTTAAACTGCAACATTAACACCCCTCCTTCAGAGTGCAGGCACTGTACTTCCCATCTCCAGGACTCAAGTCCGGCCTGCCGGTTTCCCTGAACCCCTTCATAAATGTTACTTTGCTCACACTCCAACAGCACGTCAAGTATTAAAAACCATTTGTCTCCATTCACTCCTATCAAACACGCGTGAGCGTGTTTGATAGGAGTGAATGGAGAGTGAGTGTCGTATGAGGCGACTAAAATGCCGCGAGCAATGGGCTAGTAACCCCTTCTCCTGTAGACATTTACTAAAAAAGAGAAGAAGAAAAACTACTCTGTATATGTATTACAATATACAGTACACTACTCTATAAACATTTAAAATTACAGTGGTACCTCGAGTTTCGAACAGCTCCCAACTCGAACAATTATGTAAGTGTATTTTTGTAAGTGCTTTGTAAGTGTATTTTTGGGGGTCTGAAATGGACTAATCTAATTTGCATTATTCTTTATGGGAACATATTTGTTTGGTATCGGCACTCGAACAGCTTTCTGGAACGAATTAAGTTCGTAACTCGAGGTACCACTGTACAGTGGAACTTCGAGTTTCGACCATAATCCGTTCCAGGAGCTAGGCCTAAACTCGAAACAGTCACAAGGTGAAGCAATATTTCCCATAAGAAATTATGTAAATAAAATTAATCCATTCCAGACCTACAAAAATACATTTTTTTTTAAAGAATAACTATAGTTTTACATACACACAACACAGATAAATACGTACATATATGTACTAGTACTATTATACAATATATAAGTTAAAATTTAAATAAACATTTAAAATAACATTTACTTACCTTTATTGAAGAGACTTGCTGACATCTGGAACATAGGGAGGACTTATTGTTTGGAAGGGGAATCCCCTTCCATAAAGACGTTTGGTACCAAGTCCTTTTCTGGGGTTACTTCTGTTCTATGTCTTTTAACCCTTTCAGGGTCCGTGCCATAGATCTATGGCTTTACATTCAGGGTCCAAACCGGAGATCTACGCCATGAGCTCATCTCACTCTGATAAGCTGTGAGTGGTAAATTTGGGCCTAGATATGAGAGAATACATCTATGTGGTATGTGTGCACCACATAAAACAAATCCTGCAGCACACAGTGTATAATGAGAGAAAAAAAACTGAGACCGTGATTTTCGATTAAAACAGCGACTTTGCAGTGTTTTTTCGTATGTTTTTTATAGTTGTACAGTGGACCCCCGCTTAACGATCACCTCCAAATGCGACCAATTATGTAAGTGTATTTATGTAAGTGCGTTTGTACGTGTATGTTTGGGGGTCTGAAATGGACTAATCTACTTCACAATATTCCTTATGGGAAAAAATTCGGTCAGTACTGGCACCTGAACATACTACTGGAATGAAAAAAGTTCGTTAACCGGGGGTCCACTGCATTTGCGATTTCTTAGTCTCACTTGATAGAATGGAAGACATATTACAGAAATAAAGATGATTTTGATTGGTTTTAACACTGGAAATGGCTTGAAACTGAGCTCAAAGTAGTGGAAATGTTAAATTTTTGCTGATGTTCAAGAGTAAACAAACTACCTCACACGTCTAATACACGCTTGCTGGTGGGTCTAATATACATTCACAAATGTGGTGATGATATTTATACAATTATTACAATATTGCATAACAGTAAATCTTCTATTTTTTGGTTTGAATAAAAATTCATTATGCGAATAAAAAATCAAAATGGAATTCATTTGTAAAGCCTCAAAATGTAACTAATGAACAGAGGAAATGTTAGTTTAGTGCCAGGAATACCTACATTGTTTATTCTAGACCCTATTTTGAAACTGGAATATTTTGAACTTTGTATTAAATTGGCCAAATTACCAATTTCCGATCACTTTATTTTGTAGTTGAAACAGTTGACTCGGCGATTTCTTGTGCTCAATCGAAATAGCTAAGAATTTGGTCAACTGGAATAATGTAATTGGCCTAAAATGGGAGTCAAAGTCGGCAAATTCGCCGATTCGTAAATATCGCTGACACATCAAAATTCGCGAGAGCTTAATTTCGTAAATTTTCCATCAAATTTCGTACTTTTTGTTTTATTACCTTCAGAAAAAGATTCTCTACCATTTCATAAGAAAAAATAACCAAAAAAATTGTTTTTGAAAATTCTTGGACCCTGGTGCACACTTTGAAATTTGGCCTCTGGACCCTGAAAGGGTTAATGGCACTAGGACCAGCTTGAGAGTCACTGGACCCCTGTCACACAAAATAACTGTGAAGAGTGCTCTGTTTCTGGCATATCTTTAAGGTTTCCCTAAAATTTGACATAGTTCTGTCACTGAACTTGTTGCAGAGATGGTTTGTTTCAGCTTGCTCAGGGTGGTACTTCTTGACAAAACTTTGCACAAATCTCCTTAATCAATGAAGAAGGCACCTCCTTCACTCCCTCTTCCTCCTCCTCTAAAGCAAGTTCCTCAGCTGTGGCCTGTTGCTGTTCCAGATGAAGCTCTTGCAGCTCTGTTGTGGTTAGCTCTTCCCTGTGGTCCCCCACCAACTCTTCCACATCCTCGCCACTCACCTCCAACTGCATGGACTTGCCCAATGCCACAATAGTCCACAGCAGGCAGAGGGTCGGCAGGGTCAGGGTCAGCCTCAAACCCTTCAAAATCCCTCTGGACGACACATTGTAGCCACAATTGTCTCCAAGCAGAGTTCAAAGTCCTGAAAGCAACTCCCTCCCAAGCCATACACAATGGAGGATACTGAAGTGCTTCCTCCAGAACTCTCTTAGGGTCAGCTGAGTGTCTGAGGTCACTTCAAAGCCCCTTTCAAACATTGCTTTGGTGTAGAGTTTTTTGAAGTTAGAAATGACCTGCTGGTCCATGGGCTGGAAGAGAGGGGTGGTGTTAGGAGGCAAGAACTTCACTGTTATAAAGCTGAAGTCCCTAGACAATAGGTCTTCCAAGTTTGGAGGCACCAGGAGGCACATGAGTTGCAAATTATTTTCCAGGAGGTATTTTTTCACACTGGGGCCAAACACTTCATGGACCCACTCTTTGAAAATTTGCTTCGTGACTGAGGCCTTATTATTTGCTTTCCACAAGACACACAATTTATTCTTGATGACATTGTTTTTCTTGAATACTCTGGGATTTTCTGAGTGATACACTAGTAAAGGCTTCACTTTAAAATCCCCACTAGCGATAGCACAGAATAAGAGTTAGCCTGTCTTTCGTAGGCTTGTGTCCTGGCAGTGTCTTTTCCTACTGAGTAATGTAGGTCCTCTTTGGCATTTTCTTCCAAAACAGGCCTGTTTCGTCACAACTGAACACTTGGGGTTTTAATTTTTCAGTCTCTACGTACCCTTTAAATTCATGCACAAATTTTTCAGCTGCCTGTTTGTCTGAACTGGCTGCCTCACCATGCCTTACAACACTGTGTATGCTCCTATGTTTCTTAAATCTGTCTAACCAGCCTCTGCTGGCCTTAAATTCACTAAAATCAGCACTGACTCCAGGCATTTTCTTTATAAGATCAGCATGCAAGTGCTTTGCCTTCTCACAAATGATCGACTTTTGAAACACTATCACCCACTATCTGTTTACTGTTGATCCACACCACCAACAACTTTTCAACCGTTTGTGATCTATTTTTGGCTAACATGTCAACACCTTTTGCAACATCAGCTTCCTTGAATTCTTTTCTCTTCACCAGGATAGAAGTCATAGTTGATTTATTTTTGCCGTACATCCTGGCAAGCTCCCCCACACGTACGCCACTCTCATATTTTTCTACTATCTCCGTCTTCACTGCTATGGTGTTCCTCACTTTCTTTACCACAGGGCCCATGGTGGCTTATTTCACAGTCACAATTAATGAAGAAGCATTGGCTGGCTGGCTGGATGGCTGCCTGGCTGGCTGGCTGGCAGGATGAGCACACAGCGTAATGTTCACTCAAGGATAAACAATGCTAGAATCGCTCACGACGCCTGCGTGGGGGGGGGTGCAAGCGTGGGCAGATGGACAGATCTGGTACATCAGCTGGAACTCAGGGCAACGGGCGAAACTCAGGACAAAATTTGGCCGAAAAAAGAGGTCGATACTCGAAGCGGCCGATACTCAGGGTGGCCGAAACTCGGGGTTCCACTGTATACTAAAAATGTTATAAATGGTGCAAAGGTGACAGTAAAACAATATAAAAAATGGTTGACACAAACCCACTACCATGATAGTATGCTCCTCACTTAGCGACGAATTCATTTACTGATGTGGTCTTAGGAACGAAATTCCGTCGTTAAGTGAGGAAAGGCTGTAGTTTAAAAATCAAGTGAAGCCAGTGGAAGTTATTCAGTGTCCCAAGTCAGTATTTTTTTTTTTACACAAGACTTAGAGGATGTTAATTGTGTTGCTGTAGAGCCACTAGTTGGGGATCCCTACTGTACAGTATACTGTATAGTACAGTAAATCCATGATATAATGGACAAATAGGGAGGATTGTCCGAGTGTCCATTAAATTAGAATGTTAAAAAAAAAAAAATTATGCCCTTTACTGTATAACTATAAATTACGTTCAGTATGGAAGTAAACACAACTTATAGTTATATTGCAATAAATACTGAAAATATGATAGTTAAAAGCAGTCTAATAGGGGTGTGCCAAAGTATCATTATTAGTGGGTATCAGTAAATTTTGATGGTATT